GGCTCCCCCACTTTCTTCACGATTTGGGGCGCCGCCGCGGCAAACCCGGCCGAGTATGCGCCATCAGCTACCTGAGTATTCGAACGTTAACATTAGACTCAGGCAAGCTGATGCGGTAATGTAACGTCGAATACTCAGGTAAGCTGATGGCGCATACTCGGCCGGGTTTGCCGCGGCCGCGCCCCAAATCGTGAAGAAAGTGGGGGAGCCACGAGTGGACGTCTACTTTCGGTGGCACGCCTGGGTGATATATCACGTCTCATTGTCTGTAAGTCCTATCCTATGAGTCGGAGGAATTCCGCAACTGCGACGGCGCATTGGTATTGAAGTAGATCTCTGTGAGCGCGGCGACCTAATGACACGTTACATTTGTGTGGCATATACACCGCCGCATGCGTGACAACGCGTGCATAGCCGCAATCTGAACCTCCTGTCACATGAGTTTGATTATTTTCCCTAATATGCAATTCAGGCAAATATTTCATCGGCTCGAATTGATTTTGCAATCCACCTTTTCAGTCTCAATGCAGCGCAGAACGTCAGAAGACAAACATCAGGGCGATGAATCGACTTGGTATGAATATGGCAACGTTCGCAATAGGATCGATACCCATTCTCATCGTTTCTATTGTGGCGATGGTAAATTTGCGAAGTCTCAGTACATTAGGTGAATTCTGGAAACTTTCGGCTTTCTGCTATGAGCTTTCTCTGTGTTGAATAGGTTATTGTTGCTCAGTTTTTGTCCATACATATTTGGTCTATTACTGAAAGAAAGGTTCATTTCAGGTGAGGGTGAAAAATCCCCGTGTAAAACGTACCGCAACGCACATCTCTTTGTTGTAGTGGAACTTTTGGCCAGCATAGCAGCCATCGTCTGGTTGGTTGCGCCATATTGGCTTTGCTGCCGTGAGATTTCCGATTTCCAATGCCGATATTCAGGTTAATAGCGATGATCCTCGACCCAATCATAAATACCGCTGCCGATCGGAAAATTATGGCAATGCTCCGATCATGGGTAGGTTCTTTCTGGAACTAATCATTCCTTCTTCCGAAGGGTAAGGGGTTCCAGAGTTAGGATTATAGATTTTTTATTTGCGCACAGTTCGGTCTTCAAGTAGTGCCCTTTATCTCGTTGAAGCTCTCAAAACTGTGATAATACCCTTTGACTACGATTGGTCACATGTGTACCAACACTACTCAAAAGGATAACACATTCACGACGACGCCCCTTTTCCACTTTTCGGTCGCGTGGGACGGACGCGATTTTGTGGGCGCCGCCGCCTCACCACATAACCGCAGATTTTGTTTTGTAAATGAACAAAAACATGAATGTCACAAAATAATTTCTGCAATGTCCAATGCGTAAAGATTATCTAAACATATAACAGTAGGATTTTGATCAGAACGACAAATAGTGGCTACGAAAAGAAGCATTTATTCACTTTCCCCGTGAAGGAATTTAAAAGCATTTTACACTCGATTACGAGGTTTGCCCACCTATCTGTCCATTCCTAGCGCCTGGCAAAGCGATTATCAGTTGGCAGCCCATATGGGCTGCCATCGTCCCAGGAGCGCATGTTGTTGGCAGCCCATATGGGCGGCCATCGGCGTGAATGTGTTAAGGCAGTGAACACAATGGATGGAAGGCAGAGCGTTCTTGATTGACGTCACTGGACGTCACTGGAAGAACCAGCTGGTGTTTCTCAGCTCGCTGGAGGGTACTCCGGTTTACCTCTCAACGCCTTTCGATCAGCAAAATTAATCATCATCAAAACCGTTCCACCATCCAGTGTTGTCCAGTTATCAAAACCAATCAACGAGTACCTATCGCGGGCGAAATAAAGGAGTAAAACGCGAGATTGCGAAATTCGGAAGTTGTGTGGCCTCACCAAAGGCTCTTTGTCCGACGGCAACCACACACTCACTCAAAACCTAGCCTAACACCCTAGTTTCAAAGCTTTATGCAAGATTCGCTGGTACCTAGTTCAAATCGCTGGTGCGTCGTTCGATTCGCTAGCGATTCGCTCGATTCGCTAGCGATTCGCTCCGATTCGCAAAGTATGACGTCGGCCTAAAAGCGACATAATTTTCCAGACGAGCTAATAGATATGCATTAATTATATGTATCTGGGCTATTATAATATTTTCAGGGGTCCTACTTCTGTGGTCATGTGAAACAAGTCCAGCGACGTATCACAGAGAGTACCCGAGTCAGCAAAGAAGGGAGTAGCGAGGAACGATCAACTGTCAAATGAGCTCAGTATCGATAATAATATTTTCTCTCCGGCGATGAAAATGGGTCCCAAAAATAAGTTACCTGTGTGATTTCGTCTCCAGTTGCTCTATAGGTATTAATAATTGATTAACACATTGTACACATTTCTAATATACCATAGAATATATGCTACGTAGCAACCCTGTGACCATTGCTCTGTCATTTTGATTTCGCGTTGTGATTTCCTTTTCTGAACATTTTTATATTTACCCAGCTGCCAAGTGAATCTATTGTTGGTTTTCTGATGTCAAGCGTTGAAGGTCATTATTTGCGTTATATGGCAGAGTAGTTTGATCCTCTCTAGAAGGTAGAAATGTTTCAATTAATTCCTTGTGCGAAGTACGAGAGAAACGCACCTATGCCGCCTCTTAAACCAAGGGATTACGATGGAGTGCGTGCGAAAGCAGAAAAGTACATCATCCTCTGGGACGCAGTAGTCAGGGCTTCAAGGAAGCGAGATGTGCTTTTCTATGCCAACAGGCAGCTGATTCAGGTGCCTGTGTGCCTGTTTAATTCCTACTTGATATCCCTGTCAGGGTGAAAATCGTGTCGAGGACGTGGTCGCAGAAAGTACGACCCTCCCCCACCTGAATCGAGTCTTGGCCGACCTCCCTAAAACAGAGCATATGCAAAATCACAACAGCCGAGTGTATCAATCAACGGCCGATTCAACGGCAGCTGCGGCGCGATTTGTCCCTGGGTCAGATTTGCTGAAATCCCGAAAAAAAAAACCGTCGAAATCTACACCCTCGATGAAAAGTTCCATTCCTCCATTTCCCAACCTTTTGAACAGCACGTAGGGTTTGATAGAGCTAGATTTGCTACTATCAGGCAGTATTGGAATTGCTATGAAAGCCTTCCATTCGAAGAGATATAGTCTCTCAAAATCCGTCGAGGGAGCGTCGAAGGATGCTGAAATTTCCATGCGAGTTTTTGCCACTTAAAAGCAATAATCTCTCTAAACTTTGCAAATCTAAGGAAAGAAAATAGTTGGAAAGCAAAGTTGCGCGCTTTCTCACGATATGTTTAGTGCTCCTCTAACAATGTTATTTGAAAAGAATATTTGCGTCGAGAATATATCAATGATGTCTCGGCCGTTTGAGAAGGCGCTCCCTTCCTCACAATTGCAAGTGTAATTCGTTGGCAACGCTCGGAATGTCTCCACCCCACCCCCACCGTATCTATCCTTCCTGATGAAAGTTTATTCTTAGAACACTGTGAGTGAGAGCCCAGCAAAGCAGAAAATAAGCGTTAGACAGCCCGAATTTGGTAAAAATACACTGCTCATCGCATCGCTCATACTTCCACCTATTAGGTTCTACCACAACATCGAAGCGTTTTTCTTTAGCGTATGAATTCAATGCAGCTGCATACGTAACGGGAAACAAGCGCGTTTGAAAGGATTTTCCGCTCTAAACTTGAAATCTTTCCACACTCTTATAACTGTAATCAGCTATGGTGCTTAGAAGTAGTAAGGTCGAAGCGGCCAAAATCGGCATTTATCAGCTGCTTTTCTTTACACGAAGGAAAAGCTGCGCCAATTCGAATATCTCCAGAAATCATAATCGCTTGTTCAATCCGAAATTTACCCTGACCGAACACATTTTTAGCCTTAATTTTGAACCGTATTTACGCAGCATAAATTGAGTATAAAGAAGATTTTGGAAACGAGCTCGATACCTTTTTTTTTTCTTCTATTGGGTTGCCCATAATTTCTGGCCGAATTTCAACACTTTGATTTCTTCAAGTTTTATCTTTCCTTAAAAACGATTGATCAAAAAAGTAACCACCATCATAATCACTGATAAGCATCCACTTGCTAGGGAGCGAATGGATGCATTCCTCCCAGAATGAATGGAGCTGTGGAATGAAAAGTTCGGAGAGGTCGTTTTTGGGGTGGTTGCATTTACTGACTGTTTTCTCTCCAAGCTGCTGCTTCAGGGAGCTGAGGAGGTGATAGTACGATGGAGCAATGTCAGGGCTATACGACAGATGTGGTGTCGTGGTCCAGCCAGTTTCCTTCGAAACGTGGCGAGTTATCTTTGCAATGTGATTTCGGGCGGTCCTTCGGAGAAAGGAGATTTTGAGACGTTTCGAACCGTTCTCCCGCACTGCTGTAGCCAACTTCGGGAGCTATTCCATGGTCACCTTCGCAATGCTTGTCTGCATAAAGTGAAATGGTTCCCAAAACAGGATACCCAGCGAATCCAACGAACCGGGGGTAATATCCTCTGATGAGAGAGCTCATGCTTTGGTCGAGATGGTGAGTCCAGGCTGCGAGGTAGCCACAAGGCGTGCTGTGTGCTTACGGGTGGACTCACGACTCATGCTGCATTATGACCAAACTAGAAATGTCGTGTCATATGTGCCGCAGGATAAACTTCTGGAGATGTCAGGGCGTGCCTCGGTCATGGTCAGTCGATGCCTGCTGTTTCCATCGAGTCTCCATTCTGCTTGCAGCCCCTTTTTCGTTCAGGTATCGACTCATAGAGCGTAGGCTGCGTCCAGGTGTTTGCTATAGTTTCCTGCTAATAGCGTCAGGATGCACTTCCTATTCGTTGCGCAAGGGGTCCTCATCCATAGTGACTGGAGGTCCATGATGAGGTCGAACTTTGCAGCTCCTATCTTACTTGCCGATGCTATTGAGCCAATAGCTCAGTGCTCGATCAGTAGTAAGGACTGGGGCAAACGTACGAATTGCCTACGTCCGATGTTTGTTAGGAATTAGCTCGAATTTTAGGTGTTTAGGAGTAAGGTGCTTTATCCACGAAAGTGACCGCATTTCTTTGAAAAAAATTATCCTTGAGAAGATGAGAAAATCAACCAGGCGTACATTCCTAACTTAGTCATGACTTGTTCTTTAAATTCTACTAGTTTTTCAATGTCTCGGCTATAAAAAAATTTCGACCTCGATCTCAGGTAATGGTGCTCGACCGTCGAGTTCTGGTTGAAAAACCAGGTCTGGAAATGGAATGACGCGACTTGTTGGGAAACCTAATAGTGTAATGTTTAGAAGAGGTCATGCATAAGTAGAGGGTACAGTATTGATTGATTTCTCTCAAGGGAAGATAAAGTTAGAGATAGTTGTCGGTTTGGTCAATTTTTGTCGGCTGGACCTCCCATTTCGCAGGCCTAAAATTTGAAAACCATGGAACATAGATGGAAGAAGAACACAATATCTTGTAGAGCAGACAATTCTCTTTCGAATGGTATATGAACTCGATGTAAAAGCATGGGGATTTAGATGAAAATTTTTTGGTTGAAAAAAAGCGACACTATTTATGAGACAACCTAATACATTTCAAAACAAAGCCATTGTAGGACTCAGTACGAAAATCCTTAGGAAGGTGTGGGCTCGCAAAAATCTCGTGAGAATGCGAACGCACACCGCTCCTACCTCGAAAGCAAAGTACGACCCCTTGGTCGAGATCTTCAACCCTGGTCACTACAAACCCAACCCTTCTGCGTTGGCGTTTTATGGGTAATTTGCGAGCCATAAATGGGCGACATTTCCCCTAGGGAGGCAATTTTAATTTCGATTTTCAGGTCCTACGACGTATTACATCGCACGCAATTTCAATAGGAAATTATTGCGCGTGACGCAGTAATGCATCCCAGAAAAGCGAATTTATTGGGTGATGAGTATAACTCGAGAAATTCTGAACGAAGAAGCACAAGGTAGCACTTGTTAGTGGCACCGAGCTAAAAGTAGCACAATGAGAAAACTGTAGAAAAAAAACGCTCCCTTACCGCTTACTACATATCAAGCTGGTGATGAGCATAACGCTCTGTTAAGTTTTCCCGCTAGAAATTTACTTTTTGCTAGAGAAATGTTTCGTAATAAATTTGCTTCGAAAAGGGTTCTGTCAAATGCCACATGGCGAACGGTGAAGCGTGTAGTGGAGGCGGCTTAAAACAATAATCTGAAATTGTGTTTGGGATCGCACTATGGTACCATTTGCCATAGGAGGAGCTATTACACTGTGTATAGAGGTGGCGGATTCGGCTGCACAGGCAATGCGTATCTAAAGCTGGAAGTACCGACTGCTGCTGCTGCAACTGCTTCTATCTTTAAATTCAACCTGCGAGAAAACCGCCGTCCGGTCGTTTTTCTTCCATTTTTCAATTTTTTTTTCGAGGTCTTCTTGCTGCTGCGGTGCATATGCAAATTTCCTATGCAGCGATCGGCTAAATCGTTCAATCCCCCAAAAAAGCGTCGGATAACTGCCAACGAGCATACATCCCGACTTGGCGGTAGATGGGTGATGGGGTTGTAGTGAGAACACTATTCGGTCCTGGGCTGCTTCGTGTGATCAGAGATCCGCTGAACCTACTTCGAAAAAATCTTTTTTTTCAAATTATCCTTCTGAAGAATCTAATTCGAGAGAGCGAATCATTTCACGATACTCTCTTGCAGTTTACTATTTCGAATATATAAGAATGTGGTGCAATACAAGTGGATGGGCACGCCGTATTTTTCGAGTACGGTATGCGCGAAATGTATGTAAGCGGACTGCTACCCGCTACTATGGACAAATTATAAGTTTCAGGAACATAGGTGTGGTGAACTCCAGTTCGGGGGGGCACTCACTCCATTTTTTCTCCAATACTCAAGATAAGGATTAGAGGGCTCACGACACGTAATCGACTCATTTAAAGTAGACTTCTGATAAATATTGGTGTAATGGGTGAGAAACCCTGAAACGTTTTCACATTTCCGCCTGCCATGACCCAAGGGAACGGTCCTGGACCAGGAGAAAGGACACCTCCGCAAAGGGCTAAGGGTGCAGGAGCTCCAGGGTGGATCACCTGTGCAGAAAAGTGGATGGGATGGGCAGGTAGTGTGGAATGTAGGACATCCACCGGTCCTTATCAAAAGTACGCTCGAAATGAGTCGTTCACTTATTATCTTATCCGTAGTGTTCGATAGCCCAAAGAACTGCTCTCTAGTACTACGGATAAGATAGCAATGGAGTGGCC